TGGTTTGAAACATTGGTAATGTTTAAACATTACCATGAGAATAAACATGAGAAACAGCCATGAACATGAGAAACAGCCAGATCAACCAGCACAGTTGCAGAAACCTCTTCTCGTTTAGAAACCAGGATAAAAATCCAGCTGCAAGGACTTTGAAAACGCAGGGAAAGGATTCTACAAACAACTCCTACCAGGGAATGCTTGTGAATGCCATTTGATAAGAGCTTGTCAGCATAGTGGGGTGGAACAGCTGAACTTGTTAATGAAAATGCCTTTTCTATCACCATTCAACTATTTTGCAAGGCAAAATTGTCTCAAACAAAATTATTTTTGTAAAGAAGAAAAGATTTCTCTACTATCACATCTAATTGTGGCATTAGGGAGCAAAATATAATTTTGAATGGACTTTTTGGAAGGGAACTGGTTATTTATAGCCATACTTTGTAAAAATTGGTCAGAGCAATTGTTTGAACTGAAAAGAAGCTCATTAATTTTTTTCTCTCCCTTTCCTCTGCCAGGGCAAACAGCTGCTCTTGGGCTGTGCCCAGCATGGAGCTCTCTGCAGACCAGCAGTGCCACTGCACCAGTGTCAGGCTGCAGCAGAAAGGAGGCAGAAACATCATCTGGATGATCATTATTTCATTTCTGACTTTTTTGACCATAGGAGAAGGCTCTTGAGGTGAGGGTGAATTAGGAACATCCATTGCTGGTGACTTCCCTGGGTTTGTGTGCTCGAGCTCAGGGCTGGGTTTTCCATCTAAGGTGTCCATCAGAGGAGAGCTCCTGGTGGCCCTGGAAATCCCAGCCATGATCCATCCCTCCTGCAGAATGATGGGATGTGCTGCCCTGGATCCCATCCAGAGCCCATCTGTTGGAACCCAGGACATTCCTCTGGCTGCCCTGGGTGATTCAAGACCCTGGCGAGGGGCTCAGAGGCCTTGGCACAGAGTCAAAAACACCTGTGCCTTCCATTTTAACCCATGGAAACAATTACCAACTCTGTGTGAGGAGTTACAAGCCACAAGGGTTTAAATAGAATGGTAGTGAATTTGTCACAGGGTGAAAAAGTAGAATTTTGGGAATTTAGAATGGGGGTTCAAGAGGCAAGATGGAGGGATCTGACTGTGTCCTGTCTTTCTCCTTCTTCTTCTTGTCCTCCATCTTCTGCTGTGATGGTGACACTTCTGGATTGGTTTAGAGTAGAAACACACTGTCGAACATAGGTGATAGGTATTGGAAAATTATTATAAATAAAGTATTTGTAGTTTTTAGTATAAAAAGTTAACACTACCCTGAGGGCGGTCAGTGTGCCACAACCCGACCTGCTGGACAGATCTCAGCAGGTCAGAGAAAGAATGGAATAGATAAGAGAAAATGTATTAGATAAGAGAAAATAAACAACCTTGAAAAGCAGATCTGAGGGATCCCGACTTCTTTGAGTGCAGAGCTGGGAAAAAAAGACTCTTTAATACCTTGGGAGCCATTTCAGCAACAACAAACCTGACACCCATCCTCCTCAGGCCTCCTGCCTCTCTCCAGCTGCTGCTCTCAAGCAGGTCTCTGCTGAGCTCCCAAGAGGCTGAGCTCTGCCTGTCCAAGCCTTCCAAGGAGATAGATGCTGGCACAGGCCCTGCATTACTAATTAACAGTCAGTAAACGAGCCAGCATCCCCTGCAAGGGGCACTGGTGATGCACTGACACTGCATGGAGATAACTGGGATCAAGCAGGGATAGCAGGGACTGATTTTAGTGCACATCTCCCCTTGTGAAACCTGGAAACTGGCATGGAGGACATCACCAGGACATCACCACCTCACTGATACAACCTTCTGGATGGTTCAGCCCCAGCTCATTCCCAGGCCAAGATGCTGTTGGATGTTATCCCATGGGTGTGTAAGAGGAACAGGCACTTTCAGGCTGTGATATGGACTCAGCTCACTCCAAGCTGGCCCCAAACCCACCCCAGAATCCTGAGAGCTTTCCCCTCTATCAGATTTGTTCTGCAGCTGAGCTGCTGGGGCTGGAAAGTGTTCAGCATCATGTCCACAACTCATCTTGCCACACAAGGGAAGCCCAAAAGCCTGGTTAAAATATGAGGGGGGAGGATGGTCCTGACAGTTCAATTAATGCAGGGATTGGGACATAAAAATCCATCAGGAAATGTTATGTACATTTGTGAAATGGCACTTGCTAGGTAGGAGAAAATGTAATGATGGTGCTCATTTTGAGAGTTAATACCTCCCCATTTCACTGCCTGGGGAGAGCCAAGGCGAGAGTGTGGCTCTGTGCTTAGATCTTCACACCAGCTTCTGCTTTCAACAGTTCAAACCCAGCACCACTTTAAACTTTTTGTACAAATAAGAGTGAAAACAACACTAAGCCCTTCATTGTGAAGCACAGAAACATAATTTTTCTTTGTAAGTCATCATGAATTACAGCTGCAGAAGCAAACACTGCTCCACCTGTGTGCCCAGTAAATCAAACTAAGCTCCTATAAAATACAATACTCTCCCCACAGACACAAAGTCCTTGCTGAAAACCACAAGGATAACATGAACTGACCAGAGAAGTGAAGCACTTTAATCTTTGTTTTGAAATCCCCTAAATTGCAGCCCTGCCGCTGCTCAGAGCCACCTGCTTCCTCTCCCCACTAACACAGCCCAGGCTATTTAGCTCCAGCCTCCAATTTTGCTCTTCATTATTTGCTGGCTACTCAGAGCTGGTCCACTTGGGAAAATTGCTGTTTCCATGTGCCAGCCTGGTTGTGATGTGCTTTTCTCCAACTGCCTGGCTGCTGTGTGTGCATGAAAGCATCCAGGTGCAAACAGCTGGGGAACCTGTCCTGCAGAAATGCACTTGCTTCCCTTTGGGTTGTTCCCTGCCTCTCTCCTTGGCTGTTCTGGGAATGTTTGTCTTAGGGCTGTGCTGGGAAGGGAGATTTAGGGTCCCTGTGGGTGCAGGGGGGCGAGGTGAGCTGTTCCCTGGGGTTGGGTGGGTAAAACAAGCAAAGCCCAGGCTGGGCTTTCCCTGTGGGAGGAAAGGTGAGAGCAAACCACAGCTCAGGCTTTGTCTTCCAAAATCTGGCAGTGCTGGAAACCTGCTGATGTCTGGGAAGCAGGTGAGAAAGATGGTGATTCCCAAGGGAGTCTCACTGTCCTAGTTCAGGAAACTTAATCACCAGCAGTGCCAGCTTTGTTTTGTATGAGAGAACATTTTCTATATCAGACAAACTCAGGCAGGAGAACCCACAGGGGCATCACACCCAGCAAGAAGGGCAGATGGCATTTCATAACTCTTGCAGTATGCTTAATCCCACCCAGTCCCAGGAAGGAATAGGAACAGACAAAACTTTCTCTGTGCAGCACAAAGGTGCAACCAGAGCAAGCTGGAAGTGGGACCTCCTGGCACATCAATATCTGGCTGGGGGAGATGTGGGGGTGGCATTGATTGTGTTGTGGCTTTGATGCATTGTCACTTCAAAGCACCAAACTCCCCACATAGTTCAGGATCTGCACAGATGTTGGCAGATGATGATAAATCCATGCAGAGATGGGAAAACCCAGTCTTTGGGGAGAGCTTCAAAGCTGAAGCTGAGAACATTGCAAATGTTATGAAATATTTCAAAGTCTGTCAAGTGGAAGCTGTGCTTTTAGATTAGGTTAAGAAATGTGTGGGCTAATTTTGTGAGACTCTCCAGCATTTACTGTGGATTATGGAGTCTCTTTTTATCTTGAAGTGGCTGCACTTTTCTTTTAGTTTTCAAAAAAGAAAAAAGCCTCAAAGAAACCTGACAGAAGTGTTTCTCCATAGGCTCAGTTTGCAGACAACTCCCAAATGACTGCAGTTGGTGAATTATACAAAGCCTGTTGCTAACAAAAATGGGCTGATGGGTCAAATGGGCTCCCAGCTCAGAACCTGCAGCACTCCTGGCACAGGGAAGGACACAGCATCAGGGGACAGCAGCAGGGGGACCACAGCCTGCTCACAGCTCCTCCTCCCATGACCTTTTTGCTGCTCTTGCTCATCCATCTTCATCTTTCCAGCTCAGTGTTTTCCTCCCAGCCTCACAGGAGCCACACAGAGCTGAGAGAGCATCCTGGACCTCCTTGGCTGCTGCATTCCAGCAGAGCTCCTCCCTTACTGATACAGCCCTGGAAGGGTTTGCACTGGAAGGGACACGAAGATAATTCAGTTCCAACTCCGTCTGTGACTTGTCCACCTTCCAACCGTGTCCAGCCTCACCAGAATAAACCCCAGTGCTGTGTTTCTTGCTGTGAATCCCCTTTTAACTCTGCTTTGTTTGGCCGCCTCTGCCCTCCAGCCAGAGGCGGCACCCGCCTAAATTTAGTCCCATGAGTCAACGCTAATTTTTTGGCTGGGAAATATTTATTTCCCGGTGTGGGAGCCCTCTGCATACACCCCAAGGATCAGCAGCTCCATCAGTGGTGTCACTGTAAACACACGAGCAGCTCTGGGCTTGCGGGGACAGACTTTGAGCAGCGTGCGTCACCGCAGCCAGCAGCTCTGCTCATTAAAACAAAGTCAAGGACCGGCTGCTAATGGAGTGCCAAGTGGCTTTTTTTATCCTCCTTTTCCTTTCTGTACACAGGGAATAAAAAAAAATAGAGTGAGCTTCTTGAACCTCCTAATTGTAAGCTAATGTGTTACTCGCTCAAAAACCTGTCAAAATCAAGAGGGAAGAATTATAATTTTGATGTTCAATTGCATGATTTCTTTGTTGCTTTGAGTCAAAGCATTGTTTTAAATTATTTCATCCATCAAAAGCTTATTTAGCAGAGATTAAAATTCAAAATGAGTTTAAGAAAAGATAAAGAAGCATTTGGCTTGTTTTAATTCCTGTTGTCTTTGTGGGCGTCAGTGTGAATAAAATAGAATAATACATTTGGTGCTGGAGAGCAGAAAACTGGAATTTGAGCCTAAAAAGCCAACACGTACTTATGGAGGCACAGCATATTTTTTCAGGAATTTTTTATTTCAGACACTTAAGGAACCCAAGACATTACAGAAATGACAAAAAAGGAGAAATATCTTGCTTTATAGCAGCTCTAGAGCTGTGGAGGCAGTTATTACTTCTCTTGAAGGCAATTTGCAGTGGGAGCTTTGGTCTGTGCATTGGGTTGTAAACTGGTATTGTTGGTACCTGCTGTGCACTCAGACATCTAAAGGTGATGAGCAGGGGGCACTAAGCAGGACTGAATGAAAAAGCTCCTTTGGGATTTCATTTGTGATAATTGTGGGATTTCTTTGTGATTAGAATAAAGCATTTCTCCCAGCAGCAAGCCCTGTGCTTTTCCCGGGTTTCCAAACCGAGTTCACGAGCCTGCAATGAGGGAAGCCGTGTGAATCACCAAAATACAATGTGTGCTGCTGAGCCTCCGGGGAAAAGCTCATTCCCGGGCTGTGAGGGGCACTGACACCCCAGAGCCACACTCCCCCCATGGCTGGGGCCAAGCACAGAGACAACGAGGCTCAGCCCTGCTGCTGGCCCTGCCTGCTGCTTGCACAGGTGGAATGAGGTCCTGGGAGACAGCAGCCTAAATTGGTTTGGGGGATCTGTCACACCTTGGCTGGTGCTGGTGCTGAAAAGAGATTCCCTGGTGCTGAAATTACTTTCCCTGGTGCTGAAATGGCATTCCCTGGTGCTGAAATTACTTTCCCCGGTGCTGAAATGACATTTCCCTGGTGCTGAGGGGGAGCTGGAGGGACAGTGGCTGCAGTGTCAGCTCTGCAGCATCACAATATTTCCCATGGAGGGAAATATTTCCCTCCTTCCAGGAGGTTTTCCAACAACTTCGTCTTGACCAAAGACAGGGCTGCTGCTTCTGTTTCTGTTTAAATTTCCCACTGAGGATGCATTTCAGCAATAGGAGGTGGTTTTGATCCCCACACCACCTGGGGTGGGATCCTGGAATCAGACACAGAAAACCAGCCTGGTCCTTTCTGTATCTGAGCAGCAAAGGTGTAAAATCTGTATCTGCATATTGAAGCAGGATTTATGGCAATGCAGCATACATAAAGTATGTGGAGGTAGTGGTCTTCTTGTGAGTGTGTTAATGAGGATATGGAGAATGACGATCTGCAGGGATAACATGAATATATTGTATATTTATGCCACAGAAAAACCCCAGCAAGGATTTCCCTCCACTTCAAACCAAAAGCCCCATAGAGGGGTAAAGGAGAGGAGATTTAATCCCAAAGTTTGCTGTGTTCAGCTCAGCAGGAGGAGGGGACTCAGCCTCCTCTTCCTCATCCTGCCCTGGGCAGAGGGAGCTCCACTATTGGAGCTGGGGAAAGAAATGAGCTCTGATCAGGAACAGGTAATTAATGAATTCACTCTCCCTGCCCCTCCTCAGCCTCTACCCAGGCATCCCTGGAAGGGAGCAGAGCTGCTTCTGGGTTGAGGTGATGGAAAAAGTGATTATTTTGTCAAGATTTTGGCCAAGATTCACTTAAATGAACACAAGTGAGGCTGTGGGGACAGAAGGGTGGTTTTTGGTGTTTTATTACTGCTTCTTGTACCTTGAAGAGCTGCCTTTCAGCCATCAGGAAGGTCTCTAAAAGCCTCTCTGGGAGAATAGGGAAAGCAAAGCCTCTTCTCTGAGCAGTGGTGGGAAGTTATTGTGCAATCAGGATTAGTTGGTGTTAAAAGTCAATATTCTGTGCAGTTTTCTGCCAGGAATGGAGCATTTTAGAGCCTGTAGCTACAGAATTTTACAAAGCCCTGTGCTGCTTCCTGAGGTGGGCAGCTTCACCTCTTCTTTTCTTGTCCTGTGTCCTGCAACAGGAAAAAGAAAATTAAATGGGGACTGGTCTTCCAGTGATGAAATGAGGGGGTGAAATGGAGAATCCCTGAGCACAGAGAGCTGAAGGAGAAGGGAAAGTTAATGAATCCATCAGGCTGAAACCCCCAGTGTTGAATATTCTTTTCCAGCAGAGTGTGTTGACAGTTGGAGCCCATGAGCAGCCCAGGAATGACAACCAACAGGAAACTTGGGACCAGAATGAGGGAAGAAAGCCTCAGCAGTGTTTTCTTGGTAAAACTTGTGGCAGATGCCACATGAGAGTCAAGAGAAATGAAAGAAGCAAATATGAGGTGCCAGGGGAGGGAAGGGAGAAGCGAGGGTTTTTCTAATCCCTGAATTTGACAGCCAGTTTATATGAAATAAACTCTGAAGGCTCCTGCCTTCCCCAAGGTATTTTCTTTCTAAATAGATCTATAGATACACTAATTAGTCAATGGAGAAGCACAGGAGTTAATCCCTAATCATGTAAATGTGTTGTTTCAATTAATTAATGCACGTGGCACTTGTGCTCTAGTGATCAGCACCCTAAGGAAAGACAGAGGAAAATAATCTTATTTAACAGTCTGCTCCCATTAATTCCTCCAAACACTGATGGTGTCAAAGCTTCCCATGGTCTTTCCCTATAATTCAGTGTTGTTCTGCAGTGGTGTGTTATAAATTAGCCAGAATCACAGGCTGGAAGTGGCAGTTTTGGAAAAAACAGAAAATCAAAAATTGTTTGGAGGGATTTTTAAAAATTTTTTGATGACTACATAAAGCGGTACAGGGGAGGGGAGAAGTTAAACACTATTTAATGGGCGCTGATGGGGCTTTGCCAGTCTATAGGATTATAGGTGGGTTGTTGGAGCAAGCAGAAAGAACTGGAAGAACAAAACAAATCAGCAAAGAGAATATTTTCAACCATGAAATAACTCTTCCCTTAATTAAGCACCTCTCTACTGCCCTGCCTAAGAGAGCTGCCCAAGCCATTTCCACTGCTTTTTTTTTGCCAAATGCTACCATTTCAGCTCAGACAGTCATGATGAAGGTTAATAAAAAGAACACATTTAAATAAACCTGAGGGGACTGTAATGTCCATTTTGTGCTGTTACTGAGAACTGGAAGCACCAGAATCAGAATTAAAAGCTGCTTTGTTAAGGAAAAGGCATAAAAGCAAAATATGAAATAAGGCAGGATGGATGAGCCCTCCAGAGCAGACAGCACAGGATGAGGCTCACAGGAAAGTTCTGGCTCTTGTCAAGATAAAAATACCCACAAATGGGGGACAGAGGCATCTGTGGAGCCAGTAATTGCCTCCTGACCAGGCAAAGGCTGCTGTTATGAAAAGGCAGAGCTCTGTTTGGTTTGTCTGGGGTCTCTGTGGAGAGGTGTGATGTTTGCAGAGGTTGTTCTGTTTTAGTTTCACTGGCTAGCAGCAAACATGCCCTTATTGCAGCCTGTCCTTTGGGGTTTGGAGCTCCAGGGTGAGGGTGATGCTCAGCATGGAGGATGGGCAGGTTGCAGAGGTGCAGGAGCAAAGTCCTGGTGGTGCTGGGGGGAACCTGGAGAGTTTGGGGTCTGCAGAGCCCCTCGTGCTTGTCCTGACAGCAGCAGCCTCCTCAGCCACCAGGCACCCCCAGGCTGGTGGTTCTTCTTCAGCAGAAATACAATTATGGCCAATAATTGAAGAATTAAAGGAAAAGCAGGAGTCAAATTGGATTTTTCCACAATTTATTGGTGGGGTAGGGGGATATCTGAATTTTCTGTGGCATTTTTTCCTACCTGTTGCTACAGTAACTGTTTTGTCAGGCTGCTGATTTGGGTATTTGAGTGACAGGAGGTTTAATTTTGCTTTAGCCAATTATGCCTTTTCTTTGAGAGCCATTTCCTTTGGTGAAAAAGCTTCCCCTCACTTCAGAGAGAATTCTTTTTGGGGATCACATCTCTCTGATTTCCACAGGGAGCACAAAACCTCCCATTTGTCCCTTTGCTGGACTGGCTGGGGTTCACCCCTCTTCTCTGCCGGCCCATCCCAGGGTTTGTGTCCTGATTTACAGCCAGAGTCAGCTCCAAGCTCAGCTGTGGGAAGGGAAACTCAGGCCCTGAGGAGAGTAAATGGATTGCAGGGAGGAAAGTCAGAGTCTGCTCTGAGCCCAAGGACATCTCTGGAAAGCACAGGAAGGTGCTGCTCCACTCAAACTAAACCAAATTTGTCTCTGCCCAGCCTGGAACAATCCTGACAGCAGGGCTGAAAGTTGAATTTTGTGTTGTTATTTTATCCTTTTTCCTCAATTGACCAAGAGCTATGACAAAATAATGCTGATTATTTTTTCCTTGCTGGTTCTTTCTCCTTTCTCTATTTTTTTCCTTTTCAAAAAATATAATTTTAAAATATATTATAATTGTTAAAAAATAAAATATAATATAAAAATATAAAATATATAAATATAAAAATAAAAACGAATATAAATATAAATGTAAATATAAATGTAAATGTAGTGTATATATAATGTGTATATATATATATATATATATATATATATATATATATATATATATATATATATAATTTTTCTGAAGCTTAGAAACTAACTGTTAGTCTCCTGCTGAAATGTATTTATAACCAGTTTATTGCCAGTTGTTTAACTGAGCTGGAGTGGGGTGGGTACAGACAAGACAGGAAGAAATTTCCCATTTCTAACAGCTTGGAAAGAAATCTGAAAACCTGAAATCCCAATTATTCCCCCTATTCACTTCTGTAGCACTGTTATAATTTACAGAAACAACATTTCCCTGCTTGAGACTTTGCATTTTCTTTCCCAGTTTGCAATTCCCTCGAGCAGGTTGAGAACTTCCTAATAGCTCCTAGCAAAACTCTCAGAAACCTCAGTGCACTCAGTGCAGACAAAAATAATAATAATAAAAAAATTAAAATTAAAAAAATAGGAGTTTTTTTCTGTTCGGTTCACCTGTGCCCAAACCCCCGAGGCTGTTGCTCCTGTTCTCCGAGCAGATTTAGTCCTGATTTGTTCCCGTTTTAGGGAGGTGGGGAAGGCTCAGGCATCAGCACTGGAGCCGGCAGCGTTTGGTGCCTCAGATGAGCGATGGAGCTCTGCCACCTTGTGGGGCTGTCGCCTCATCTGCCGGGCAGCTTTCATACCCAAAGATCCCTTTTATTTCTTTAAACCTTGCAGGGAGCTCCAAAAACAAATTTGTGAGGCATTGCAGAACATGGCTGGAAATGCTTGGTGGGACAAGGATCCCTCAAGGGTCAAACCTGATGCAACTTTAGAAATTATCCAACACAGAGATCAGTGAAAAATTCTCTTAATTGCCACAGCTTCAAAACATAACATCTTACCAGACAAAAGGCTCCGTTCTTCCAAGAGTGAACATCACACTTGGGTGGATGCAACTGAGCAAATCTTGTTGACAAAAATCAGTTTTTGAAGTTTCTTTGGAAATCCAGGAAGGAAAAGTGTCCATCTCTGTGTTGCATCCCAGGGCTGGCATCTCCTGTACTGCTTCCAATGGCATCTCCTCTGCTCACACACCACCTGTGGAAGCACAAAACCACAAGATCATGGAATCCTAGAATGGTTTGGGTTGGAAGAAACACTAAGGATCATCTCATTCCAGCCCCCTGCTATGGGCAGGGACATCTTCAACAGATCAGGCTGCTCCAAGCAATGTATAACCTGGCCTTGGACACTTCCAGGGATCCAGGGGCAGCCACAGCTTCTCTGGGCATCCTGTGCCAGCACCTCAGAACCTTCATAGGGTGAAAAATTCCTTCCTTACATCTAATTTAAATCAACTCTCTCGTGGTTTGAAGCTGTTGCTCCTTGTCCCATCACTATGGGAGCTCCAGCAATCCCTCAGAATTCCATCAGGTTTTAAAGATTACTTCATCGCAATGCTGGGATGCTTTTGATTATATACTGTGGAGCTTAATTAATCTGGTCTACTGTACAGAAAGCAAATATTCTAAAGCAGTTATTCCAAGGTAAAACTTTATTTTAGGAACATTGTATTTGTCCTAGGAGTAGCAGAGAAATTCTCCCATCTCTTCAAGTTTACACCTGGGGAACTTTTCAGCCACAAATAGTCAAGAGTTGCTATTCTGGATGTTCAGAACTGTTCAAAACAAATAAAAATAACCCTCCAAAGCACAGAACAGATTTCTGATCTCTGCTGCCTTGGGCCTGTGGGACCTTGCAGGGGAATAAACTCCCACAGATTTGATTTGCTTTAAAAGAATATAGGTGCTAGATTTGGAAGTAAATCTGCTCTGTTTTTGTTTAAGTGGTTGCTATTGTTTGCTCTGCTCTTTTGGGAAGGAATGACTCACCACCTGAAATCAGTATGTGCTCAGAAAAGGTTTCAATTTAACTAAAAAGTCAACAAAATTCATCTCCAAGCAACTATAGACTATTTATGATGTCAGGTCTCATTTGTGGAAACAGAGAATATAAAAACACTTCCCTCCCCCAACCAGAAACAGTTGTAATTCTTAAAGGAAATAAAGCAAACAAGGGAGCTTGAGCTAACAGCACCAAACTGTAGGATAATCTGCAGGATTATCCTTTAGGTATTGATCTCAAGGAAAAGAGGAGCAGCTGCAGAATCCTCTCAGGGCAAAATAATTGTGTCTGAAAGCTTGTTTGCCAACTGATCTGTATCCAGAGCAAAGGAATTATTTTGGCCTTTGGGGGGGCAGGGGAAATGTCAGACATGATAATTTAGTTTGCTACTGGGATGATGCTGGGAAAGCCTCACTGCCTGCTGAGGCTCTGCACCACACTGAGTTTCCTCTCAATATATTGGCTTTTGGAATTTTTACTCATTGGGAAAGCCATGCTGTCCTGGTGCCTTCTCAGCTGTGTGACCGTGTTCACAGGAGTCTGAGGATGAGAAAAGAGATGAGAATCTGACTCCATGTTTCAGAAGGCTTGATTTATTATTTTATTATATATATTACATTAAAACTATACTAAAATAATAGAAGAAAGGTTTCATTAGAAGGCTAGCTAAGAATAGAATAGCAAAGAATGATAACAAAGGTTTGTGGCTCAGCTCTCTGTCTGAGCTAGCTGGGCTGTGATTGGCCATTAATTACAAACATCTAACATGGGCTAATCAAAGATCCACCTACTGCATTCCACAGCAGCAGATAATCACTGTTTATATTTTGTTCCTGAGGCCTCTCAGCTTCTCAGGAGGAAAAATCCTAAGGAAAGGATTTTTCACAGAAGTTGTCTGTGGCACAGCTGTTTCATGGAGGGAAGTGGTTTCGCTCTGCAGAATCCCTCTGGCACTGCTGGAAATGAATGTTCACACCCCTCTGCTCCCTCATTCCCTGTCTGTCCCACGGTGGGAGCAGCACTGGGGTGACCCTGGGGTGGCAGAGTCCCTGTGTAGCCCAAGGGATGCTGCAGGGTGGGCTCAGGAGTGTGGGCAGAGCACAGATCTGGGTGCTGCTGGCTGCCAGGCTAAACTGAGCTGGTGTTGAGGCTGGGACTGTGAAATTGGTGTTTTATGCTGAGTGTGGCAGAACAGGGCTGGGGAGGGGGCAGCTGGAGGAGGGATGTGCTCAGCCCAGCACCTGGGGGAGATGCTCTGTGGTCCCTTTGTGCCTTCCAACAAACCTGGCTCTGTTGCAGCCCTGAGGCTGCAGGAAGGCAGAGCAGGAAGGAATATTGCCTGTCCTGGAAGTGGCAGCACTACAAAGCCTGCATTGAAGGAGGGGGACGAACTGAGAGGGTCCTTTTAGTCCTTGGAAACCTTCCTGAGTGAGTCTGAGGCACTTTGGAATTGCCTTTGCTTGCTGAGGGATGCATTGACAGAGCCTGACCTCATTTCCCCTGGAGCACAGACCCCTGTGTATTGCCCCTGCTTTATTAACCCACAAGATCTATCACTCCCCTGTTTGTTTGAATTCCCTCTCTTCTTTCCTGGGTGGGGTCTGTCCTGCTCTATTTCCTTGTGCATCCCCAAGCCAAACCACCTCAAAACTAACTTCAGAGTAATTCATTATTAACATAAATTAATTTATTAATTTATTAATATAATTTAATGTGTTAATTTATATATTAATAAATTACAGTGTAATTTATATTCAGAGTAATTGTATTTTAAGTATAATTTATATTCAGAGTAATTTATATACTATTATATGAATTACAGAGTAATTTACATAATAGTATATTCAACAATATACTATTATATATATTATATTACAGTGTAATTTATTAATATATAATAGTATATTATTGAATATACTATTTATTATTTATTTATTATTTTAAACCCCTCTTGCATTAGGTTGGATCCCTTTGAGCTCTTCAGCATGAGCCCTGTTGCCAGTTTCAGGACAATTCTGACCTGAGGGGCAGCTCCTTTGGGAAGCCACTGCTTGCTCTGGCTCCTGCTGCAAATTCTTGGTCACCCGAGGTCTGTGTGTCCCGCTTGGCTGGAACAGCTCTGCCCTGGCCTCTTTGGTGTGGTTTGATTTCCTCTCTCCCCTCTCTTGAGTGGAGAAGGGACCCTCTCCATCCAACCCACCACCCAAGTTGCACAGGGAAGGAGAAACAGCAGATCCAAAAGCTGCCTGGGGAGGATGAATGTGCAACTCAATCATGCAGAGGAAGCCCAAGATGATACAGAATGGGATTTTTTGACTCTAAGCCAGGAAGTTACTCAGCCATGCTGCTCCTGTCTGCTTTCCTCCTGCAAAGGCTCTGCGTGGTGCCCAGGGAGGCACAGATGTAGGGATGCTTCCATTTGCCATCAGCTACTTCTGGAAGAGGATATGCAGGAGACTAAAAATGTCAGTGCTCCTGGAGGAGGAGCAGGACTGGAATCCCATCTGGAGCTTGCAGAGCAGTGTTCAGAGTTGAGGGGGATGGCACTGAGAGCACCTTGTTCCTTCATTTCATCACATCTGACCAGGAGACCAGGGCAGGGAGGTGAAGACCAACCTGCCTCAAAAACACCGTTTAAGGGCTTTCAGTTCTGGGTGAGTCTTTGGGAGGAAAGGGGAAGGGCAGGCATCTTCCTGGACACCCAGCCCTCGATGTGCATGTCTCGTTCCCAGTGTTTGGGCATGGCAGAGCTCTATTCCACCAGGACTTTGGAGAAAATCCCTGGGGACACCAAAAATCACGTTGGAGTGGAGCAGTGTGGTGATGGGGACCAGCTTCACTGGGGTTCAGGGGGCTCCTCACAGCAGGGAAGGACTTTTAGCAGTGACACATCAGTGCTGGAAAGCCCAGCTCAAAGAAGCCCCAGGGAGGTGCCTGAGGGGGTTCCAGCCTTTGTCCTCTCACTTCAGGCAGAGAGAAACCGCTGAGCAGGACATCAAGCTTGAGGCTGGCTTTGGATCTCTTCTGATGAAGATTTTTAGAGTGTGGACTCAAATTCCCATTCCAGTCTCTGGGGTGTGTGTGTCACTCGTGTGCCACGGAGTTATATTTCCGTCCTGCCTGTTGATCACTGTGCCCTCACATCAGTAGATGGCAGCAGCTTCCCGGGAGCTGGTGGAGGAGCCTTGGCTGGGAAGAGCAGGGATAGACGCTGGAGTTCAGCCTTTCCCTTCCCTGCCTTCCCCTGGCTCTCAGCCCGGCCTCCTGCCGCACTCCGAACTGTAGATGGCAGCAGGAAAAAGATTTTCCTATTTCTTTGTGATTCGTTGACAGTATTTTCCTGGCTCTTGGAGCCTGCTGGCTCTGGGTTTTTGGGTCAGCTCAGAGCCCTGGCTGGACTTAGGTCACTTTGAAGGCTTTGATGAATGGGTTGAGAGGATTTTCTGTGCATGCTCCTGCTTCCAGTAATCTGCATGGGAAACTCCTGCAAGTGTCCATGGGGATGTGAAGGGGAGAAGCTCCTAGCAAATCACACAGCACAGCAGTCCAAAAATTGTGGTACAAACTGGTGCCTCACAGCCAAGAGGGCAAAATGGCTCCTGGTAAAGGAGACAGGGTTTAAGCAAGGGTTGTGCAGGCAGAGAGATTTTGCCATTTCAATCCTTGGAGGTTTTCAAAGCCTGACTGGGCTAAGCTCCAATATCCTGAGTTAACTTTGAACCCTGGTCAGAAAGGAGATTGGATATCCAGAGGTTTTCTTGTCAGTCTCCTCTCAGACTTTCTGCTCTGCTGTGCTGATCACACTCAGCTGGGCTGATGTACCATGGTTTTCACTGCCTTGTGTGTGACTGCATCATTTGTGTCCCCTTCTTGAGCTGGGATAGATGAGGCTTCAGAAGCTCCATCCAGGCTGTTTGACACCTCACAAATAACAGTTCAGTGTGTCCCAGGTGTGTCTGTAGGACCCTGAGGCCACATCCATCCATCCATCCATCCATCCATCCATCCATCCATCCATCCATCCATCCATCCATCCATCCATCCCTACACGTCTCCCAGGTACAGCCATAAACCTTCCTGAGGTGCTTTTGAGACTTTATTTGGTGATTTTTTTTAAAGTTTCACTCTCGATCAATGCAACTGGAGTTAAGCAAGCTGGTGTCCTAAGGAATTTGGATCATTTGAAGAAAATACCCCTCATTGGAGGAGGAAATGTCACTGTGGCACTTGCCAGCTAGGAAGAAAAATCTAGATTAAGGTGAATCACAGAAAACGCTGCCTTGAAATGAGAGCTATTAGCTATTAGAGTAACTCATGAGGAGAGAATATTTAGGCTATTTAATGCACCATAAATTACACAGGAATTCTCCTGCTTTAACTCAGTAGTCATTTGATTTAAATCTGCTTCTCTCCCCAGCTTCCTATAATTACAGCATAGCTACCAGCCACATCCCAGCCACCTGCAGTGCCTGTTCCCAGTGAAAGGGACTCCCAGATGTTCAGCACCTCTCAGCACAGGGTCCCACATCCATGGGGTCTCTGTGCTGGAGCTGCTGGGTCCCACTCCCGCCCCGCCAGCGCCTCTTGAACCGCCCGGCTGCTTTTCACTCTGCCTCTCTCTTTGTGGAGCTGGGAAAGCATCCAGAGCAGCTGTGTTAGGACCTGTCAATCTCAAATTGCAAAGTCATAAGGAGGGAAAATAATCATCGTAATAATAATAATAATAAAGTCATCAACTTGTCTTACTCTCTAAGGGAAAAAAGGTTTTGGTTGGAGGTTTGCATTAGCTATAATTTTCTCCAAGCTGATTTCTCTCTGTGATGCCACTATACAGCCTCTGAACGATGCTCAGGCGAAATCTCCTCTGACATTCATTTCTGTTTACAGAGCTCATCCAAAAACAAGAGGCCTTTTCTTCGCTTTATTCAGCATTGCCACGACTCGGTTGCCAAGGCATCAGCCTTTGATTCCTGCAGTTTGGCTCTCACCAGTGATGCCCCACACATCCCATCTGATTCCTGCAGTTTGGCTCTCACCAGTGATGCCCCACACATCCCATCACTGTCTGGTGAATGCAGCCACCCCAGCATGGACCCTGCAGCCGATGGCACCGTGTCCCCAGGGTGGGACATCTGCCCTTGGGGTCTCTTTCCTGACATCAGGACCTGCCTTCAAGCCTGATTTTTCAAAGGCTAAAATGCAGGCGGAAAATACTCTGGAAAAATATTTTGTCAGAACTTGTGCATTTGTGGCTGTTCAACCAAAATCAGCTTAATTCTCTGGCCGAATGGAAGGGCTGGTTGAGAAGATCCTGAGGCTCATGAAGCCCTTGATGGGGCAGGAGCAAAGCTGTGGCTGTTGTAAACTCTCCTGTCTGCTCACTCTCCCAGCCACACCACCTTCACCCCCTGAAGCACATCTGTCCTCCAGCACCGTGGGATTTCTGGAAAAACAGTGTCTCATTGCATAACCCCTGTCCTGAGTCAATCACTTGTTCAAGGTCTGAGCTGATCTTGGGTATGAGACCTCTAAGCCCCTCATCCCTGCACTGCTGCTGAAACTGCCATTATTTATTAATAGCTCTGAATCCAGGCGTGATCCATGGAAAAAGATGTTTCTCCTTTTCTGGTTTTCCACCAGAAAAGAAAAAAAACTGTTTTAGACTGCACAGCATGCCAAGGGAAAAGAGTGGAGGGAAGCAAGTTGGGAAGGGACAGAGAGTGAATCTTGATGCCTTTAAGTCACTCAGATGAAGTTCATTTCTCCTTGTCTGTACAAGGTTGGACTCTTTGCATTTTCATGGTAAATTTGTTTACCGAGCCGTTGTTGAAATTCTGGAAGCAGAGAAAATGCATTTGCTCCATAACCTTTCCGGATCTGACAAGTCCTATAAAATCTATTAAAGCCTTTAATGAAATCCCCGCTCGGAGCCAGCTCCCATGAATGAATGTGGAATCGGAATTTAAATTAAAATGTTGTTTTTGTAGTCTGTGGGCTTTAGCCTTGACAGAAATTAAAGGGACAGTTCACATTTTGGGGTCTGTCTCTTTCTCCCTGTAGTTTTTTACTGCCATCCTTGCAGAGGATGGGTGTTTGAAGCTCTTTTCCTCCTGCTGAGCCTGTGGCCAGTTGTGAGCACTCAGCTGCAAGAGCAAAACCTGCTATACTGAATAATTTTAATTAGAAATGAGTAAATTGCTTAATAGGCAGCGCTGTCCTTTAAACAGGACGCAGAACTCTCGTTACATATGAAGGGCTTTGGGTCCAATCCCCACTCTGAGGAGCACAGAGCTGGCCTTGCTTCAGGGGTAACCACAGTGCCACAGTGGTCAAGAGCATCCTCAAACACTTCCCTGCCATCAGCCACTCGAGGACATGCTGTGGCTCAGCCCACGAGCCTTGGCACTGTGGACACACTTCAGTAAGGAGCCTGGTGTAAATCCACTGGCTGTGCTTGGCTTTGCCTACCCAAGGATTTAATTTCCATATGTAAATACAGGTCTGCATATGCAGGGAGTGCGCAAGCAGTTCATTATTTTTGATCTCTTCTGCACTGAGCAAAGAGAAGTGTCCCACAGTGGAGCATGTGCCTGAGCCTGGAAAGGAAAAGGCTGCTCAGGGCTTGGATCTTCTTCTGCTGAGCTCTGACCCTGCTCCAGCCTGGCCCTGCATGGGTCAGCAGCAGGCCAGACTTGTCTGGGTCTCTAACTCCTTTCTCCAGAGACAATTTGCCAGGGTTTGCTGGGTTTGGCTTCCCAGGGAGTGATGCCACCAGCTGTCCTCACTGCCTCCTTGGGTGTGTGTTTTCCAGCAAGAAGTGACAAAAGTCTGCCTTTGTTTCCTCATACAGGCTTACTCCTTTTTGATGTATTTTGGATTTACGTATTTGCCCTAAACTGCATCAGCTTTTGCCATACCCTGTAAGGAATCATCTCTTTACCTATGGGGAGGAAACATCCATCCTCCTTTTTTAGGAGCCAGAACTGCTCCAGCTCTGGAGCTCCCCAATTGCAACTGCTCATCCCTGGCCTGGGACCTCACCCAAGGGGGCTGCAAATGTACCCAATTCCCTTCATTTTGGGGATTTGAGATTCTATTTGCTCTTCTCACAGCTTGCAGCTCATTCTGTTTATGTTTTCTCCTTTTTAAGGGTTATTTTTATCCAGAGGGATCCTTTGGCCTGGATTTATGCCATGTGAGGGGCTCCTCTTGCCAGGCTGAGGAGTCCTCACCCAATGCCATAACTAGATGGAGGATGCCTGGTACTTCATGATGCCATGGGCTCAAGTGTCACTCAGCTGCTCCTTTATGTCCTTTCCCTGCAGGCTGATTCCAGAAACACCTTCCCAATCCCTAGGCCTGCACTGGTCAGTGTTAGACTGCAGGGTCTCAGCACAGACAGTGAGTGTTATGAGCGTGGCATTAGGGGGAGGGTTTCAGACCACAAATAAATGCATAATAAACACATGTAAACAGTCATTTGGTTCATGGCTGATAAACTTTCATGGTCTATTTTATCACCGTGTGCACAGAGGAGGAGGGCTCAGGATGCTGCTGGCTGTGGACCAACCCTCTCCACTCTGTCCTGCAAGAGGTTTGGGTAGGACACCAAGTCATGAATCCCAGAATGGTTTGGGTTGGAAGGGACCTTAAAAGGCCATCTCATTATTTCATTATCTCATTATTCCATCCCCCTGCCATGGGCAGGGACACCTTCCACTATCCCAGGTTGCTCCAAGCCCCATCCAGCCTGGCCTTGGACACTTCCAGGGATGGAGCAGCCACAGCTTCTCTGGGCAAACTGTGCCAGAGCCTCACTACCTTCACAGGGAAGAATTTCTTCCTATTATCTAATCTAATGCTGATCTCTGTCAGTGTGAAGCCTTTCCTCCTTGTCCTGGCCATGCCCTTGTCCACAGCACCTCTTGATCTCTCTTGGAGCCCACTTAGGCACTGAAAGGGGCTCTAAGGTCTCCCCAGATTCTTCTCTTGTCCAGGCTGAGCACTCCCAGCTCTCCCAGCCTGGCTCCAGCTCCTGTAGCATCCTCATGCCCTCCCTGCACTCCTCCAGATCCACACCCTTATGCTGGGGGTTCCCAAGCTGGGCACAGCACCTCAGGTAAGTCATGGGCTCATTTGGATCATGCACTGGTTCCTCCAGCCTGGGATCCAGGAAGATCCAAAGTGTGGCTGCGGCCAATGGAAAAAGGTGATTTCTGTCTTGGGGGATAGCCCAGAGAGGGGTTTCATTCTGCAGGATGCTCAGCACCTGAGCAGCAGAGGAGGAAGCTCATCTTCCAGGGGAGCTGCTGGTGTTGAAACCTCTTTGGGCCAGAAGAGCAGCAGTGGGCAGGAGATCCTCCAGAAGGCAAGAGCCTGTTTTCAGTACAGGAAAGGAGGGAAACTCATTAGTGCAATGTGAAGTGAAACAGAAAATGCCTAAATTTGTTGGCAAAATGACAGGAAGAGGGAATAAAATGCTCTTTCCATGTCAATGTGTTGCTGGAAGGATGGTGAAAAGTTTTATCCTCGTTCCTTTTTCTTTAACTCAGGTTATTACAAAGCAATCCATGATGTTACTAAGGAAAAAAAAAATCATTAAGTTTCACTTTGAAAATGTCAAAACAAAATGTTTTGGCATTTCTGAAGTGAAACATTTCATTAAAAATGCTGCATCTGAGTGTTTTGACATTTTTAAAATTCACTCTCCTCCTCCTCCTCCCATTTTCTCAGCCTAAATTTGTTAATATTTTTAGTCCTTCTAAAAACTTAATTTCCCAGCAAACATAGTAGCACTGAAAAAATGAATTGCAGCTTTGTGTATACTGAAAGCTGTGAGCAATGGGCAACCTGGGCAGCCGAGCTGAGGCTGCCAGTGTCTTCAGCCTGGGCTGTCCTTTCTGTGGTGCAAAAGAATGGTGTAATCATGGGACTGTGCAGTGAGAGATTCATTCCCTTTTGATTCCTTCAGAGACAGACTTGCAGGAATACCTGACATGCAAAAGGTGGGGAGTAGAGCTGGAGCAGGTTGGGAGCTGGGTGATGATGCTGATGTCCCTTTCCCTTCCTCCTTCTCCCTTGTGGCACCACTGGTTCAAGCAGTGGCTGCCTTGGGACACCAAAATGACTGCAGGGAATTGTCCTGGTGCTTCATGCAGGGGAGTGTATGGGGATGGAGGGGGGGAAACAGCCCTGCAATACAACAGGGTGGGCTGTTTCTGGGTGTTTCCCATCTGACAGCAGCCACCACCACCCTTCCAACCCCCTGGCACACCCTGGGCATGCACGGGGCCAGAGCCAACCGCTGCTGCTCCGAGGCTGTTCAAAAATGGGCCGAGTCAAACGCCATCAAAAGCTGCCTTTCAAGTGATGCTTTTGGTGCAGGGGAGGGAAGGGCTGGTGGGACGTGTCACTTGTGGCAGAGTGTGATAGTCACCTACAAAGGCTCGAGGTGTTTGTCAAAGGGGCTGGGGAAGCCTCTGAAGCCAAGAGATGCTTTCAAGAGGAGAGCGCGCCGTGCGCACCCAGTCACTCAGAGATGAAAGGATTGAAAGGATCCAGGCTCTGCTGCATTGCTTGTTGCTGCAGCCCCAGCAATTGCACACCCTTTCCCTGCCAGGGCCTCAACACTGCCTCAATTAAAGGGGAAAATGGAAGAAAATGTGTGGTGTCGCTGGAGGAGGGGAAATCAAGTCAGCTCACCCCTGATCCTCTTGTCAAACCAGAGTCCCACCACCAGCTCCTGCCACAGGAGAGGCTCACACCAAGCTCTAGGTGAGGGGGATGGAATTTGTCACTTTTGCTACTCAAACACAAAGCACCTGGTCTAGTGCAATGTCACCATCATATTTT